GGGGCGCGTCCGCAGGGGGGAGGGGGGGGGGCAGAGAGATGTCCTTCACACGGGGAGCGTGTGCGACGCAGAGGCAAACAATACGGAGGAAAGGGGCGCTCGCAACAGGTGCAGGCAGACGCGCAGCAGGGCCTTCTGTTGCCACCACGCACTGGCTCAGGCGGTGCAGTGGGTGGCGAGGAGGCAGAAAAGCGGGCTTGCCTTTGGGGCGCCGAGATGAGGGGGGGGGAGGAAGATCGGAGTCGCTGTTGGACAAGGCCGGGCGCGCGTGCGTGCGCGGGTGAAGGAACGGGGGGGGGGAGGGGGCGAAGAGGGGCTGCGAGTCAGTCGGAACGGGTCCGACGGGCGGGATGGCAGGAGGGAGTCGGCTTGTGGCGAGAGGGGCGGGCGAAGGGAAACAGATCTGGCGGAGGGGAGGAAAAAAATGCCACAGAAGGGCGCGGTGAAGCGGGGGGGGGGGGCAGCAAGGGAAAATGCATGCGCCTGCGCGGCGGGGAGAAGGGAAGGACGGACAGGGGGAGGGTGATGGTCGAGGCGAGGGAGCAGGCGAAAAGGCGAGGAATGGTGAGGGTGGCCCAGAGAGGGTGTGGCGCGGGGTGGTCGGGACGGGTCCGGGCGGCGCGAGGCGAAAAATGTCTAACCGGTATCCGGCCGCCAGCGGCCAGAGGCCCATTCGCCCGACCTTCGGCTCCGTCCCTTCGCATCGTCCTCACTCTTTCTCTCTGTCTCTCTCTCTCTCTCTCTGTCTTGCCCGCCTGCGGCGGCCCCCCCCCCCCCCCCCCCCCCCCCCCCCCCCCCCCCCCCCCCCCCCCCCCCCCCCCCCCCCCCCCCCCCCCCCCCCCCCCCCCCCCCCCTTCCCCTCGGGGCCTGGAGGAGGATGTAGATTCTATCCGCACACATCTCGTCTGCGCACCACCGAGGGGTGCGCGTGCGGGTCCCGCCTTTGGGGCCAGTAGAGCGGGGACAACCCGCCGTTCCCGGCGCCAGGCATGCCTGGCACATCACCGCCCCCACAACCCCCCGGCGGCACCCCCGGGCCCCGTCCCCCCCGGTCCCCGGGTCCCGGTCCCCGGTCCCCCCCCCCCCGGGCCCGGGCCCGGCCCCTCACCGCCCAGACACCAGCCGGAGTGTGAGCGGCCCTGTCCGCTCCGAGATAAACACAGCTGGCCGCGGTTGGGAGGCCAGATCAGCGCCCTTCCCCTTTGGTTCCGCCCGCCATTTTGGTCGGCATGAGCCGCACAGTTGCCAGGTCGCACCGGTGTGCGAGGGCGCCCCGGTGCTTCCTTTCACACACATGACTTCCCCCCTACATCTCGGCGCCCCGTGTATGCCCGGCTGGCCCGGGCGTGTGCGGGCGCGGGGGGCGGGGGGGCGCGGGGGGGGGCAGCCACGATCGAAGAGCCCCTCTGCCGCCCCCGTTCCCCCCCTCCCCCGTGTCCGGCACCCTGGCATTCTTGCATCTTTCGGCCCCCTCTCCCCTTGGGAAAGGGAGGTGACTGCGGAATGCCAGTCATCGGGGTAGGGCGCCGCCTGGCCGGGGGGGCACGGATGGAGACGCGCTTTTGTGTGCGTGTGTGTGCGGCTGCTCGCGCGCACGTACGCGCGCGTGAGAAGGCGCATCCCTCCGTCAGGCTCCTGCTGCTGCTGCTGCACACAGGGCTCCGAGAGAGGGGGGAGGGGGGGCCTTCGTGCGTTTGGGGCCTGGTATCCCCTGACCCAGACCGGCAGCCGGGCGGGGCACGCGCCACAAGGGAAAGCAATGGGTTGCTCTCCTCGCGCCCCCCCCCCCCCCGCCCCCCCGGGCGCTTGGGGCCGTGAAACCTGCGCCCGCCAGGCCAGGCACCGGCGTCCTCCCCCGTTGCGTTGCTCTCATTGCCCGGCGAGGCAAGCCCGCATGCGAGGGCCCTCCGACGCGCCGCGCACCGGACTCGGCGTTTGTTATTATTCCTCCCCCCC